GTTTCGTGGACAAGAACATAACGTTGTTCCAGGAAGATAGAGCACCGTGCCATACTGCTAGAAATACCCAAAAGTGGCAGGAAGAAAATGGTATCCAGAAGTTTTCCTGGCCGAGCCAATCTCCTGACATGAACCCCATCGAAAACCTCTGGGCCATACTTGACTGGCAAGTCAAGAAACAACCAAAAAACCAACTTCGAAGAGCAATCTACTCCAAGTATTGAAGCAAGAGTGGGTGAAAATCCCACAATTTAAAATTGACGAGATGATTCTCACGATGCCCCAAAGGATCAATGAACTCCACGAAGATCTACTAGCTATTAATTAAATTATACATATATCAATTCATGTGAATATGACTGAAAATGTTCGTTTTTTCTGAAAAGGTGGTGTCTATTTACTTGTGACCATGCTGTGTACATACACCAGAAGATGAGGAAGAACTAGGTCATCTCAACAACACCAGGAGTTTTGTACATATACCACAAGGTGAAGAAGAACTAGGTCATCTCAACAACACCAGGAGTTGTGTACATACACCACAATATGAGGAAGAACTAGGTCATCTCAACAACACCAGGAGTTGTGTACATACACCACAATACGAGAAGAAATTTTGTTAAATTACAAGATGTATCCTTAAGTTTAGGCTTAAAGAGGTTGTTTTCTGCAAGTTTAGCAGTAAGCTTATATTATATGAGTTGGCCCCCCAGTGGCACAGCAGTATGTCTGGGGACTTACAACACTAGAATCCGGATTTTGATACCCGTAATGGGCAGAGCACAGATAGCCCATTGTGTAGCTTTGTGCTTAATTGCATACAAATATATGAGTTGCATTAGTTGAAGTATATCTTTAGACCAAATAATTTCCAAATCAAGTAGGAGATAGCTTAAGATCTAAATCTTAGTGTTCTTTATTTAAAAAACTTGATTATAATAATCCCTACCATTTCTATGTATATATATATACACACACACAACAATCAGGTCTTGCTTACAGTAGTCTGCTTCTCCCATCAATAAATCAAATGTTCATTTCCAAAGAGAATACTGATAACAGCCATGCATGGAATCAAAACTTTTCTATTATTTAGGCTTTCTTCCTTATCTCGTGTTGTTCAGATGACCTAGTGTTGTATGTACACACCTCCTGGTGTTGTTGAGATGACCTAGTTCTTCCTCATAGTGTGGTGTATGTACATACCTCCTGGTGTTGTTGAGATGACCTAGTTCTTCCTCATATTGTGGTGTATGTACACAACTGGTATTGTTGAGATGACCTAGATAAACAATTAATTTAGTGTTTAACCATTTAAGTGCTGTATATCACAACATTCTATTAAACCACTGAAGTGCTCTTATATTGAAACAGATAGAGGGCACATCAGTGGTTAAACACTACATTAGTTCTTATGATATATACTGTTGCTATTATACAAAGTCTTTATTGTCAATCAAATGCAAAGAAAAACTTAACCTTTTCAACATAGTGATAACAGCCAGTGAAGGTACTAGCCATTTCACAAGTTTCATGAATTAAAATATGGTACTATAATAAATGTAGTGTGTATATATGTATCTAGCTATGTACTCAATATGGCGCCATCTATTGAACAGCACCACAAACAAAAAATTTCTCCCTTTGGGTATTCAAGATTCAGACAGAAAAATAACTACAGTATGTACAACAACCATTTCTTTATCACAGACCACAATTTCAAATAAAAGTAATCTCCTCACAACAAGACTGTACGTGTGGGTTTGATTATATCTTTATTGATGTAATTTGTAAATATAGTACTAAAAAATGGAGTTCTTTAAAAAACTTTTCATTAAAGGGTACCACTTTTAATGTATAATCAACACAATCTAAATCCTTTTTCTATATTTCTTTCAATGAGGTATGGATATTATGATTAATAATTACTAGCACAAACACCTGCTTATCGGGTGGTATTTCTGCTAGCATAGTAAGTGTTCTTAAACTCGAAATGAAAATACAAACCTATAAAAGTTGATTTATGATAACAATTGCAAGCTTATTAACTAGATCAACAATTTATCTTAAGATGGTAAAACCAATTCACTTTGCTCCTCAATTAAAAATTTAATATTTTAATGTTGATTATTTACAAAGGAATCATAAACATTACTTCTATAATATAACAGTTCAGGAAAACTATCTAAACAAAAGTTTTCATAACTATAAAACATTAACTAAACGTGGTGCAATCCTTAATCCTGCAAAGGGGGTTTCAGCTATTAGAAAAACAATTGCAACCTCTGGTTGGGAACCTGAACAATTTAGAAAATACTGATTTTGTTAAACTTTTAATAGCACCTGAACTTAGAAAAAAACTTAATTATTTCTTAACTGTACTTCCTTCAAAGGCACTTTTCTGTAAAATGATTCAATGTACAAACTACTTGGTTTGTCAAAAATTAAGAAATATCCTTAGAAACCTCAAAACTTTTTTTACAATAAAATGGGTTTTTAGAAGAGGCTAAAAAATCCACTAAAAAAGCTACTAATTTATGAACAGAAGTATCAGTCCTAAATGGAATAGGTCTTATATACGGGGCAACCCATTGAATTTACTTTAGGTATTCCACAATGTGGAACAACAGTCCCAATCTCATTATAAACTGTTACAGACATTAGCTCTTTTTTGATGGTTAGAAAACCATTTTGCAAATGTTTTCTTTTGAAGCTGTAGGATCTGATTCCAACTTTCCAAACTTAATGTTTGCATTTTAAATGGTCAAAACTTTTTTAACATAATCACCATACCATTACTCTTGTCCAGCTTTACAATTACTAACTTATACATTGGTGTAAGATGTTTAAAGGATAAACATTAACTAGATAAATTCTGTCAAAACTATGAAACGTTCAGTAACTTTATTATGAAGATATTGTTTTCAGCTTCATTGGGTACTTTTTTCAATCCTTAAAATAGCTATTTAAAATTCACAAAGTACTCTACATAATCTAAACCTTGTGAGAGTGTTTCTCTGGTCCCTTTATAGCTCAGCTGGAAGCCTGAGGACTTACTTACACAAGCTGTGGGTAAAGCACTGATAACCCTCTATGTAGCTTATAATCTAAGCCTTGTGATAGTAATTGTTCTCTGGTCTCTTGGAGCTCAGTTGCAAGTCTGCTGAGGGTTTATATCAGCAGTGTGCAAAATACAGATAAGCCACTCTGTAGCTTTATGTTAAACAACAAACAAATATTTTCTGTAATGCTGTTGACTGGTAATTTGAAAAACTGTAAATTACATGGTTACAGATATTCAGCTGCTTTATCTTATTTAATTGTTTAAACCACAATTCTGTAAAGATCTTACTTTCCCTAACTGTAATTTAAAATTTAATTCTAACCTAAAAACCTTTACCCAAATCCTTAAATGCCTGTATGATCTTAAATTGGAAAAAAGAAGGAAAAATTATAGCTTATACATTCATTTAAAAATATCTATTTTTTGAAATTAAAAAAAAAGGACTATCAACACTTTTCAAATAATCTTAACTAATATAAAGCAGGTTGGTACTAATACAAAGGAGATAGATACTAATATAAAGCAGGTTGGTACTAATACAAAGGAGATAGATACTAATATAAAGGAGATAGATACTAATATAAAGCAGGTTGGTACTAATATAAAGGAAATAGATACTAATATAAAGCAGGTTGGTACTAATATAAAGGAGATAGATACTAATATAAAGCAGGTTGGTACTAATACAAAGGAGATAGATACTAATATAAAGGAGATAGATACTAATATAAAGCAGGTTGGTACTAATATAAAGGAGATAGATACTAATACAAAGGAAATAGATACTAATATAAAGCAGGTTGGTACTAATACAAAGGAAATAGATACTAATATAAAGCAGGTTGATACTAATATAAAGCAGGTAGATACTAATATAAAGGAGATAGATACTAATATAAAGCAGGTTGGTACTAATATAAAGGAAATAGATACTAATATAAAGCAGGTTGGTACTAATACAAAGGAAATAGATACTAATATAAAGGAAATAGATACTAATATAAAGCATGTTAAAAACCTACAAAAAACCAAATATGAATAAAGTGTTTACTATCATAAATATCACAGTTTTGTATTCACAAAATAATTTATTAAATCTGACAAATAACATAAGAAACTTAAAACCTCCTCCTTTAAAGTAAACACAAGACAATTAAAACCTTCTCCAATGTTCATACTTCTTCTAGCATTTACTTATCCTTTACTTTTAAAATTGTAAGATAATTACTTATTGCTTGAATATGGTTAAGACAAAGCATATTAATGATTACCACACAGTTTCTTTTAATCTCAACTTTCACTTCCAAAAATGTGAGTCTTGAACAGTCAAGACATTTCATATTTCTTATGGTTCACCAGTAAAATGAGCTGTCTTCTGCTTGTTTAACAAGTTAAAATTACATTCTTTTTTTTTCTAATATATATCGTCATGGATTAGGAATCCTATTTCAAAAATCATTATTTTTTTTTTAAACTGTAATACTTTTTGTTTTGAGGAAAAACAAAAGATATCTTTCAGTGTTAAGCTATATATACATTAAGCATTTGCAGAAAATATAAAAACTAAAAACACAACTTTATATTTTCAAAGGTTTTAATAAAAAGTTTTTACAATAACTTGTTAAGAATAAGCATCCGTCCACTTTTTGAAACTAAAAACAGACCAGCAATCATTGTGTCAAGAAAAAGAGTTTACAGACACAAACATTGTACAATAGTGAGCAAACAAGACTAACAGTTACTGTGTCAAACAAGAAAAAGTTTACAGTCAACAACACTGTACAATAATGAGTAAACAAGACAAAAACAGATTAACAGTTACTGTGTCAAACAAGAAAAAGTTTACAGTCAACAACACTGTACAATAGTAAGTAAACAAAACTAAAAACAGACTAACAGCTACTGTGTCAAACAAGAAAAAATTTAGTCAGCAATGTACAATAGTAAGTAAACAAAACTAAAAACATAACAGTTAATGTGTCAAACAAGAAAAAGTTTACAGTCAACAACACTGTACAATAGTAAGTAAACAAAACTAAAAACAGACTAACAGTTACTGTGTCAAAGAAGAAAAAATTTAGTCAGCACTGTACAATAGTAAGTAAACAAAGCTAAAAACATAACAGTTAATGTGTCAAACAAGAAAAAATTTACAGTCAACAATACTGTACAACAGTGAGTAAACAAAACTAAAAACAGAATAACTATTACAGTGTTAAACAAAAATGAGTTCACAGTCAACAACACTGTACGATAGCAAGTAAATTAAACCAAAAACAGAGCATTTGCTGTATCCAACAAAAAAAAATTATAGTTAACAACATTGTACGATAGTGAGTAAACAAGATTAAAAACAGACTGACAGTTACTGTTGATGATGACAAAACCTTGTCGAAACGTTGTACATTTGCTGTTATGTTAAACTTATATTAAAGTTTTTCTTCATTACCCATTCAAGCCGTCTCCAGCCATTATTAACAGTTACTGTGTTGAACAAAAAAGTTTCTGGTCAACAATACTAAATGATAGTGAGTAAATAAGACTAAAAACAGACTAACTATTACTGTGTCAAACAAAAGTGAGTTCACAGTCAACAACATTGTATGATAGCGAGTAAAGAAGACTAAAAACAGACTAACTATTACTGTGTCAAACAAAAGTGAGTTCACAGTCAACAACATTGTATGATAGCGACTAAAAACAGACTAGCAGTTGTTGTTTCAAACAAGTCACGTTAAAAACAGTGTGATGGTGATAACATAGTTCCTGAAATGAAGTTTTTTAACAAGCTTGAATGTAAGCCTAAGTGAGTATCATGTAAAGTATAATGTCATTGTATTATTCCCAGGGATGACATGGTACTCAAAAACTAAACTTGGACTTTTTAAAGATGCTAACCCTGACAACATTTTGACAAATGTTTTCAATAATCTTTATTTGAAAATAATCCTTATAAGTGTTTTATAAAGGAAGCAATTAGATTCACAAATAACTTCTTTATACTAGAAAACATTGAAACAAATGTATCATAGTTTTATAAGTATATAATAATTTCTTAAGATTTTTATGATATCAAAACCTGGTTATTTCTTAACAATCTGAATAACATCTTCATGATTAACTACATGTTGAAGTCCTACTCGCTGTGGACTGTACTTGGTGCTGGTGCCCTGAAATATCACAACAAGTCTTAACATTAAAAACCACCGATAAAGATTCACATGTGAATTATACTAATGAACAGTTATACATTCATACATAATTATGATAATCTAGAGTTACAGTATACGATGAACAGAAAACTAGAAAAGATACATACCCAAACCAAGGCGTACTTGAAAACACTAACAATACTCCGATGAATAGAGTGACACTAACAAACAGAAACAAAATGTTTGAATAAATTTCTAAATATAAAATCTCTAGTAATGAAATAATAACCCATTGGCCCTCTTTAAAATCTAATCATACGTTTAACATAATGTTACAAAATATTCTTAAAACAACACATCATAGATAGTGTCAGAAATCAAACAATTCATGTTTAGAACTCAAATATGCACTTCTTAAAACTACATGACTAGGAGAAAGCGTCAGAAAACAAATAATTAAAATTAAGACCTGAAACAAAGGTTTTAACACTATATATCTAGGAGAAAGTGTTTGAAAAATAAATAATTAAAATTAAGACCTGAAACAAAGGTTTTAACACTATATATCTAGGAGAAAGTGTCAGAAAACAAATAATTAAAATTAAGACCTGAAACAAAGGTTTTAACACTGTATATCTAGGAGAAAGTGTTTGAAAACAAATAATTAAAATTAAGACCTGAAACAAGGGTTTTTAACACTATATATCTGGGAAAAAGTGTTTGAAAACGAATTTACAAACTTATAACTCACCACATGTTCAATTGTAGAACCCCTTCTCAATATTATACCATCTTCAAAATCAGGTGATTCTAAAAATAAATATATATCTTTTTATAAATTCTATGAAATTCAACTAAACAGAAAATGTCATTATACATATCCAGCCAATAGAAAGTCATTCTATAAAACCAAACAATAAAGACAAAAATCATAATACAAATTGAAACACACGTAAAAATCATAATAAGAATCAAAATCATTATACGAACCCAATCAATAGAAAGTCATTATACGAACCCAATAAACAAAAAGTCATTATACAAACCCAATCAACAGAAAGTCATTATACAAACTCAATACACAAAAAGTCATTATACAAAACCAATAAACAGAGAGTTATTATAAGAACCAAATCAACAGTCAATATATGGACCAAATTACCAAAAACAGTTTTTGTATTTTCAATATATATATATATATATACAGCAGTAAATGTCAGACAATAACTGCACATCAAACATTTTAACAGGTCCAACAACTCCCTTTACAACATTAAACTCATAGATATAGACAATAACTCACATCAAACATTTTAACAGGTTCAACAACTCCCTTTACAACATTAAACTCATAGATATAGACAATAACTGCACATCAAATATTTTAACAGGTCCAACAACTCCCTTTACATAAAACTTATAGATATAGACAATAACTGCACATCAAACATTTTAACAGGTCCAACAACTCCCTTTACA